TAAGAATGTGATATTGAAACTATCCACAAAGAAATAAACTATTCCCACATTGCAAGCTCCACATTTTGGCAAATGGATCTGATCCACTAGGATGAAACCCAAAAGCAAAAATAGGAATTTGTATACGATGCTTCACCTAGTACATCCAAGCTTTGTCCCATATCTAGTATATTCTTAGCAAACTACATCATAGTAATTTTTCCATTGACCATTCTCAAAGTGCCAAACAAGCTGCACCTGAAACTTTACAAAGCGAGCCTAGAAACCTAATGAAGAGGGCAATTAGCCACTTTCTCTTTTGTAGATCCCCGACAAGAGATATTTGTATTTATCAGCGTTCTCTAGAAGATATGCTAGAAGATGAGTTGCCGAATAAGAGGAAGGAATAGGTCCCAACTTTTCAATGATCTCTTTAAATGTGTACTCCTTCGGAAGCATGTCAAAAAGTCAAGCCCTTTGCATATTACACCTTGAACCCTTTTGAGATTCAAGTAATGATGGAAACTAACCCAATTCATCTTAAATACGAACTCACTTACACGGCGGAAGCATAAGTTGTAAGGTCAATCGGAATCGGCGAAGATATAGTCTGCTAGACAAAAATGTGCATACCTTGTCTTACTTGTCTGGTACCTACGAATAGAAGCTCTCCAACTCTTATCATCCACCACAACTCAAAAGAGTAAAGGTAATTCTTGAGCCTAAGATGGAGAACTAGGGGAATGTCATCACACCATCTCAAGAGATTGATTTTATGGGCGCTTGGGATCTCCTCAACATCAGACATTACCAATAAGTCATTATCTGTTATACCTTCTATTTTGAGAAGTTGGTCTAGTGCTCAAGGTGCCACTTTCCCTAGTGTAATCTGGAGAGTGGGTTGTGCGGGATCTAAAGTTGTAACTTGTCATTAGTTTATTGTGTTGTGCAGGTTTGCATAATGCATAAGTAATTAATACTCATACCAACTCATCCATTGGGGCATTGAAGCTGCCATGTGTTGGGGCTTCACAACAATTACCCACAAGATAAAACCATAAAGTATTTTTGAAATAGCAACCAAGAGAAATCTAATAGCAAAAAAAAAAAAAAGGAAAAAAAAATCCAAGAAAAGACAAATAAGAAAAACAAACACCACCAAGAACACATAATTTATGTGGTTCGGCATTACCGCCTATGTTCATGGGAGAGGTAAAAGTTGTTCTTCACTATGAAAGAAAATGAGAAAAAATACAACTTGTGGCTTGCAACAGAAACCAATCCTTAATCCTTGTACACCCATCCTCTCTTTTCCTCTCTCAACTTGAAGAACAAAGACGAGAAAAACCCCATTCTTACACCAAGAGCACACTTTTCCTCTTTTCTTCTCACTTTTCCACAAACAACGTACAAAAAAAAGCCTTTTTTATATGTACAACCCTCTTTAACCTAAAGAGGAACTGCACCAATCATTAGATTAAAATTAATCCAAAGATTGAGAAATAAGACACAACCCTAACAATCTCCACCTTGGCTTATTTTCAATCATTTTGGAGATCTATCGATTGTGCCTCCACTTGTTCACAAGTACTGTAAACCTCCATTGGCCTTGTAAAACACCACCAAGTACATATAACTTGAATTACTTAGTCCTAATTCCACTAATTCAAACAAAATGTCCAATGTACCTGTGTAATTGCACCTGAGCTAATAGTCCTACTTAACTCTAGAAAGGGACCTTGATCCTTCCTCCTAGTAGGAATATTCCTTTCACAATCATCTATACCTTGGAAACTTTTAGTATTTGTCTCTACTCCATCTATAAAAGAGACTCTCCATGTTTTCACACTACCTTGCACACTTCGTTTCCAACATCCCATCAAGGACGTGAAAACCATTATATTCCCAACCAAGTATTGCAATCCCTTGCATGCATTTTTCTCCTTTCATTAGAATCATACTGCCACGTGTGATTTTCATGACTCCACTAGCAGCATAGACCTTGCAACCCTTGGAATTCATCCAGTTTAGTGATATTAAATTAGTGATATGAAATTCCTATGCATTTTTTGGACATACGCCACACCACCTAAAGTGTGAATTGTTCAATCAAACAATTTGATTTTCATTGTCCCAACACCCATGATGTCACACATAGATTCATCACTCAAGGAGACAACACATGTCTTCCTTTCTTGGAACATATCAAAATATTTCTTCCTACAACAAATATGTATAGAACACTTAGAATCTAAAACTCATTCATTTGGAGTAAAATTGCACATACCTTTAGAGATTGTGAGAACATTTCCATCATTATCTGATGCAATTGCCATGCTTTCAGATTCATCCCCACCCCTTTTTCATGTAGGAAAATCTTTCTTCATGTCACCAAATTCCTTGCATCTGTAACACTGTACTTTGCCTTTTTCCCTGGCCTTGGATCTAAACCTTCTGCTCAGATTAATAGCACCATTAAGAACACAAAGAACTTACATAGTTCTGCATAGTCCACAAAAGAGAAGAAAACTATTCTTCACTATGAAAGAAAATGAAAACAATATAGGTACCGTATGGCTTGCAACCCAAACCAACCCTTAACCCATGTATATATGTTTTCTTTTTCCTCTTTCAATCTGAAGAACAAAAACAAGAAAAAAACCCACTCATACACTAAGAGCACCCTTTCTCTATTTTCTTCTCACTTTTCCCCAACCCTGCATACAAACAAAGCCTTTTATATGTAAAACCCTCTTTAACCTAAAGAGGGACCACACCAATAGTTAAATTAAAAATAACCCACCAGTTGAGAAATAAGACACAACCCTAACACCATGTGCCTTTCAGTCTGGCTTAGTCCTCAAATGTAAGCTTTCTAACAAACCCATTGGAATGGTGAATTGTGCATCACCTTTTTTTCTTCTACCCATTTGATTACCAATAAAAAAATAGAAAGCTTAACTTTTTTTTGGTCACTGCGTCTTCACATTTCTTCCTTTCCAACCAAAATGAAAGCCCCATTTCAACTACTAAATCCATTTATCAGTTCCAGCATGGTATCAAATATTTTATTTTGAAAATTTAAGGAAGAATGATGGGAAAAATAACATCTTTCCATTAACAGACACTAACGTAAGAGTGGATTTAATCAATTATCAAAAAACTTAAGGATACTTTAAGATGTAAACAAAAGAGGAAGAATTATTCAATTTCCTAAACTTAGGGATATTTTGAGAAATTTGCCCTAAAAATCATCAGTGTAGGAACTAAGAGATGCTATGGTGACAATGAGGCAAGGTCCACTAGAAACCCATCAAATAAAAGACAGAAGTCAATGGCGATCCTAAAGGATGGAAATACACTCCATCTAAAAAAAGATCTTTGTTAACTGTATTATATTAATGAACTTGGTAATCCATTAGGCCTTTATTAACATAGATTAAAGTTATGACTTATGACTTCTGTTCTCATGACATTACATGCTCTCATTTGCAAATTTGAACTTCTAGTGTTACTTATAGAGGTGTAAAGTGAGCCGTGCCGGGCTGGCACGTGGGCGACCTGCGGGCCATCACGGGCCATGCTGCCCTCCCCGGTGAAAAATTTGGGGGTCGACCCGGCATGGCTCACGGCTCACGGCCCAGGCCCATGTGGGCCCGTGGGCCGAGCCTTGGGCTGGGTCGGGCCGTGTATTGGGCCAAAGTTAATTATTTAAAAAAATTGACAAAAAACTTAAAATTTTAATTTTATATGAATTTTATGTATAAAATTGCTTATATATGCAATAATTAAATAAATTAGTATAATAAAATTAAAAAATATTTATTTTATTAATATATTATATACTATATATTATTATATAATTATAATATATATAAAATATATATAGGCAGTGCCGAGACATGCCACGGGCCGGGCTGTGGGCTGGCCGCTCGGTCGTGCCATGCCATGCCAGCCTGTGGACCTAAAATCCCATGCCCAGCACGGCCCGCAGACCGTTGTGCCAGGCCCGATTTACACCTCTAACCATTTATAGCACAACCAAAATAGTAATTGATTTGTGTTACATGTTCATAACACGCTACCTAGCTCATAAAAAAGAGAAATGTATGTAATAAATACACTATTTCTGGATCAGACATTTTATTTGAGAGTTCAGTTTCAACTGTTCCACTCATGTAATGCATCTATAAGCGCAAAAACCAATATAAAATCAATCAATAAAAGTATATTACATTGAACCTTGCCCTAAAAATGCTTTGGCCACAAGATAATCAGAGGTTGGACCAGACTTTTAATTCATCTGAAAATCCATTTTGATTAGGTAACTATTGTCCATCCTATTTGTTGATAACTTCTACTGTTCTATTTCTACAATCATTTTACTGTGTTGATCTGTTCATGTAAATTTTTATGCATGGCCGCATTGGCATCAATATGATCTTGGGGGATCAAATCTCATATCCTACTTTTGCAGAAGATTAGTACTCGGCAGCATAAAAAGACAATCATTTCTGATACATGAGAACTTAGAACTCGCTCAAAGTATTGATCGTACATTCGTTCGATGTCTCAGTTTAAAGGATCACCAAAACGTTAAAATACTTGGATTTAAAGACTTTTAATAGGTTTAAAAATTAGACGAGCTCGGGTATGACAATGGAAAGACATGATACCAAAAACGTTATCACCGAGTTTGACTATGAAACACATGATACTGGAAAAACTTACAGCCAATCAACCGATATCGACTATGACAATGGAAAAGACATGATACCAAATCACGGGGTGCTTTAATTGGTGAAAACTCCTTCAATACCATGACTTTCTAGTATCATAGATTATCAAAATCAACATGGGTTTTGATTGGTCAAAGCACACTTGAATCACTTGTGAGTTCGTCAAACTGAAAAACAAAAATAAAATAGAATATCTATTGTCAAAAACTCTGAAGACATGATTTTCGAGTATGCAAAGTATGGATACTTCGAACCATGACCACAAGGTAGTGTAGGTTGAGACTTAGAAAATACAATCTCTATCTTATGATTGAATCGTCTTGTTGGATCCTGTAAGGGTATTACAGTTGCATCCCCACCATGAGAAGTTCTCAGTAATGGTTAGCTACCTAACGGATTGATCAATAAATATTAATTGAGGCCAAAAACTTGCATGCAAAAACAGAATATGACTACTACAAAATTTTCTTGATCACCAGACTCCCAGTCCCAGCCGAATCCCCCTTGTAACTTGTCATCCTATATTGAATCTGTTTGTAATGTTCAGCCAATGAGGACCTTCGCTTTGACAAATGAGAGGATTTTGCAATTTGAACTGTCCAGCATCAATCGATTGCCACCTCCAAATTATGGGTGAAATAATGGTAATTTCTGTCCAACCACATTAAATAGTCTTCTAACAGAAAAGGAAAACGTTCTTCTCAGATGACACCATTTTTTTTGAAGAAGCGGTTCCAACAATTCTCTCAAGCTAAAATATCAAAGATTTATGTGAGTAAAGTCACCCAACGAATTGATCTGCTTTTAAGAAAGGACAAATACTAAAGTTTTGCACAAACATTACCCTATACTGATCGAAGCGAGAGAACAGTGCAGTGCAAGCCATATTATCCGATCCTTCAAGCATATTAACAATCTGTAAAGAGGAGAAGGGGCATACAGGATTAAAAATAATGAACGGATTCCATGGAAAAAAGCTTAAATAATTTGGGTATAAAGAGATACAAAATGAGGTTCACCTCTGGATAAAATTCTTTCCTTTCTGGAAGAGAGTATATAATTAAATTCTGTATGCCACGAATCTGTTCTCCAAAGAGGGCAGGTTAAGCATAAGATGGATGACGACAGGGGAAAAGAAAAGGAAGGAGGAGGGGGCAATGATAATTTGTGAAATAAAGTGCCACGAAAACAGCTATCAAAATAAATAATATCAACACAATATTGAAAGTGAAAACAAATACAAAAATGATAATAAAAAGAATAACAGTTGAGAAAACATGACAACATAAAATCTGCAGAATCAGACCAGCATGACCCCTAGGAGAGACTTTTTTTTTCTGCTACTTAGAATTACTTCAGCATATCTCTCTTCTACATTCTACTAAATAAAATGGTTCCACATCAGAAAATTGTCAAAGGTTGCAGTCTAAGCATGTTTCAGTTTTAACTGAGCAAAAGGAACACTCTTGACAGAATAAAAGTTCATTTTTCGATCCATTAATTGATGAGATCCCCATTTCCACAAGCTAGACAGTAATACTGTTGTGTTGTGTTCCTCTCTTGGTGTAGAGAAAGGAAGGCAGACTGGGTTAGCATGAAGGAACCCAGAAGCCTCCAAACTTAAATGAGTTTTATTAGGTTGAAACAGGTCAATAAAAACATACCTAGCCACATGAAATAATTGATTGAATACAAAAACCCACAACTGTTCACCCTAACTGACTCTCCTAGTGGAGATTAAGTCTTGTTACTAATAGCAACTATCACTCTACGTGCTGAGTTATATTAAACTCAGTATCCCTGCCAAGTGTGCCAACTATTCAGGTGGACCCTTAACCATAGAGACATGATTTTGCATGTAACTAAACCCTCATCTGATGATCTAATCCATTACAACTCTTTGACCCAAATTAAGTTAAGCTTAACAAAACATAGTCTGACATGTAATTTATAAAAAAAATAAAAAAACATAGTCTGACATGTAATTTATCAAAAAAAAAAAACATAGTCTGACATGTAACCAATACTGTCAGATTAGACTTCTGGGTGGGAAAAGATAGAAACAGAAAAGAGGGAAGGATTATATATGATATATCACAATTCAGATGATTCTGTAAAAAATATGTTTGGGATAAATTCTTTCCTTTGGTTGGGTTTCATTCCCAACTAACTAGATGCATTCAATTTTTTCTCAAGAGGTAGAAATAATGATTTTTCTATCCTAATAAAGAATTTTATTTATTATATACCAACTAGAACAGCTCATTAGACAGAAACCCTTGGGGTTGGTTGGTCATTAGTGTGGAAGAAGTTCTTGTATTTAATCCTCATATTTAGCATGCATAAGACATTTTTATCAGGACATAATATCTTCCTATTGTTTTTTAAATAAAAAGAGAAAATGTTTGTCATGTGGTGGCTTTCTCTTGGATTAGTAACTGTAGACAATTGATGATAACAACCCTTACTTTGCTCCAACATCTTAGAAACTATGCCCTAGCATTTTAACAATGCTGGGTCTAAACAGATGTCAAGACACACAACACAGCATTAACAAACTTATACACTGATCTTTGCATATTAATCAAGGATGTCAGTTGCAGCATTGCATTTGGTTAAATGCCTAACAAATCTGAAACATTGAACCATGCTTCATAAAACTTCTATTGTATAAGTAGACAACAAGGGCAAACTAGCATAATAAGTAGAAAGCCTTATGTGCTGATTTCGGCCAAGCTTCTTGTGAAAGGAAGAGGAGAAAGTTGGGGGTTTTAGCAATAGACAGAGGAAAGGGAAGAAAAGGAGAAGGTCGACTAGGATAGTGATACATAACCCTAGCCGCCAGCCCCTCATTCTATTTATAATTAACTTAAATATGGGATATTTCAAAGATGCCCCTAGTAGGGCGGCAACTCAACTAAGTACTTACAATTCTTTTAAAAATAAAAGACTAACGGGCCCAAGGCCCAACAACTTCTTAATTTAAAAGAGAACAAACTAAACATAAATTGGCCCAACATAAATCAGCCCACTCAACATAATATATTCCTAAAAGAAACAACCTTGTATCTGTGATAGAAGTGTGCTCTCTCAGTATAGAGCATGATCTTCCTTGTTCCTTGAAAAAACCAACCCCGTGCACGAGATATATCACTCTGCTTTGTGTACCTAAATTTTGAAAGGAAAGAAAATGGAAAATAAGAATGGTACAGAAAATAATAATATATATAGGAAAGGAATATTCTTACTCGTCAAGCAAACAAAAGGATGCATTTTGCAATTTCAAGAAATTCCTAATTCGAACAAACTCGAAGTACGAACTGATAAAAATCATAATTCCACCCTGCATGAAATAGAAAAGAAATATTTATATGTATGATTCCAATTATGAAATCATTTTTCAAGGCTTGAATTTACCAATACATAATTTAATAGTCTAGATAAAAAAACTAGTACCTGAACTGAATCCTTTATTTTAGGGAACACCTACAGCAAGAAAAACTCATGTTACTTAAATTCATGGCTAGCTGAACCATGTGAACCAGAAGGGTTATGACTATATGTTTTAAATGGTAAAACTCTCCAGTGCCCATTCATGTAGGAGTGCTTTGATTACTTGTTTTCAGAAAAGCCACCCAATGAATGAAACACGTAATTCATAGGACTACTGGAAATTATCGTTCATTATTTCTTGGTCAAAAATAGTTGAATGGCTACAAAACTTGCCAGAAACACAAAGTATGAAGACAACCAGAAAACAGAAAGTGATGCAACACCACAATCATGGAGTGTTCAATGACAATTCTAGTGAAGCAAAAACAGGTTTGTCAAGCTTTTTTTTCAAGGAACTACCAGAATAGGAGATCTAATTGAATGCGAGGGAAAGTAAAAGCAAAAGGGTTTGAGGGCCTTATAGCAAATGAGGCACAAAACACAAATTCCTCAAAAAATTAAAAATAAAGAAACATTAATACAAAAATGTGGAAACCTGAATTCTAGAAGAAGGGAAAGGCATTTGGACCTAAGGCATTGGGACCTGATGTTTCTTTATAGGCCTTAGTCCTACTGTGGTTAACTAAACTATTAAATAAGATAGTAAAACAAGGAAGATGCTAGATAAATGGAGAAAGCAAAATGGTTATTATATATGACATGAAATGGTATATCAGGAAAGCTAATTTGGTTTTATACCAGGGATATCAATTATAGAAGTTAACTGCAAGAAAGGAAAAGAGTTGGTAGTTGTTAGTGTCGACTGTATAGGGGCAGTTTGGTCTTTGTATTTATGTTTGGTGTGAGGTGTAATGTTTAAGTTCAGTGATGTGTCCCGTACTTAAGTAGGGGCACAACGGTCATTTTGTTTTTATTATAGAAAACTATAAATATAACCTGGCCGACTAGAGTAGATTTTTCTCTCTAGTTCGAACTGGCCTTTTCTCCTTCTCTTTTCTTGTCTTCTCTTCCCTCTTCTCTCTTCTATCTTTCTTCTCTATTATTAACAAACTAATTCTGGTTCAGATCTGAGTTTCATCATGGTATCAGAGCTACTGTGACAAATTCAGATCTGCCCAGACTTCCTTTCCATTGCCATTCAACTAGGGTTTTCCAGATTTCTTCATCATCTGTTGGAGATAAGAAAAAGGGCTGAGAAGGAGTGACCGCCCTTCCCTTTTGGAGGTTTTCATGCCTCCCTTTTGTGGTTTAGTGGTTGTTTGTAGGAAGCCCTCTAATCGATGGTTCGAAGAGGGCTGTTTCAGGTGGTGCAGTGGACAGTCGAGTACAGGTAGGTGTTTTGGTGATCAAATAGGTGGGCTGTATGGGTGCTTCAGTGTGAATTGAGTGGTTGGTGAGTTGCTATGTTTGTGGTGTGTATTCAGGTAGTTTTGTGGTGCTGAGAGTGAAGAATACCAGTGACTGTTATTGCTGAAAACTGTGACAGTAGGTGCCTTCAGCAATAACCTGTCACTAGAGTCCAGTGTGTGAAAAGTAAGTTGGGTTGTGTGGCATACTATGAGTGAGAAAGGAAAATAACTGTTACTAGTGTGCAGTGTGGTGAGAAGTGAATTAGGTGTGACATAGAGGTGAGCGAAGAAGAAAAAAAAATATTTCAGATATGGGAGACAGTCGTGAATACAAGTCTAGTGTTATGATTTCCTCCAACTACCTAAATGTTCAGATGACTTCTATCAAATTGAATGGGTGAGAATTATGTGCCTTGGGCGAAATCTATAGAAGTCTTTCTTAGGGCTAAGAAGAAGGTGAAGCACGTAAGAGAAGAACCTTCCGCTGATTCTCAAGAATATAGTGATTGGGAACAAGAAGATGCACATATTATGACTTGGTTATGGAATAGAATGGAACCCAAGATAATGTCCGAGAATACTTTTATACACCGTTTCAGGAATATTTGGAACAATATGGCATTATCCATCAGACCTCATGTATCTACACCTCACAACAAAATGGGGTGGCTGAGAGAAAGAACCACCATCTTTTGGAAACTGCTCGGTCCCTTTTGCACCATATGGATGTACCCAAACGTTTTTGGAGTGGTACTGTGCTTACATCTTGCCTCCTCATTAACCGGATGCCCATGCCCATCCTTGAAGGTCATTCTCCTTTCACCACTTTGTTTCTTACCTTGTCTTTGTTCCCTCTTACTCCTAGGGTTTTTGGGTGTGCGTGCTTTGTACTTAATCTTGGACCAGGAATGGACAAATTAGATGCACAATCCAATAAGTGTATCTTCCTTGGCTATTCTCGGGCCCAGAAAGGATATAAGTGTTATAACCCTAGTTCTCGACGTTCTTTTGTCTGTCTTGATGTTACTTTCTTTGAGTCTGTTTCGTTTTCTTCTAGGTTAAGTGATGTATCTTCTTCTTCTCCACCTCTTCTTCTAGTTCCCATTGAGGACCGACTAAGTCTTCGCCTCTAATGCAGCCTCTTGTTGAATGGCCACCCATCCGCCAAGTGTATACGCATCGACAACATGTACCAGCTCCTCCTCTAGCTTCTTCACCATCAACAGATTTGACTATTGTTCCCATACCAGCCCCACCCCCTATTTCTGACATTGATCTTCCTATTGCCTTGCGGAAAGGTAAATACAGTTGCACACTTCATCCCATTTCCAATTATGTTTCTATATCTAACCTTTCTACTTCCCATCATCAATTTGTTTCTCTGTTGTCTTCTATTTCAGTTCCTATGGATGCCCAAGAAGCCCTTGCCTCTCCAGGGTGGCGGCCATGCAATGGAAGAACTCTCAGCAATGGTTCACAATCATACATGGGATCTCACCACCCTCCCCCTGGTAAGCATGCTATAGGTTGTAAATGGGTATACACTGTCAAGTATTTACCTGATGGTAGTGTAGAGCAGTTGAAAGCTCGACTGGTTGCCAAAGGATATTCCCAAACGTATGGTATACGAAGACCTCTCCTATTGCTAAAATTGGTTCAGTTTTTTGATATCTCTAGCTACTATGTATGATTGGCCTTTGCTTTAGCTTAACATCAAGAATGCCTTTTTACAATGGTGATCTCCTTGAGGAGGTCTATATGGAGCAACCACTGAGGTTTGTTGCTCAGGATGAGGATGGTAAGGTGTGTAAACTAAAGAAGGTCATTTATGGACTTAAACAATCCCCTCGTGTGTGGTTTGGTAGATTTAGTGAAGTGATAAAGAAGTTTGGTATGAAACAATGTCAGGTTGATCACTTAGTATTCAACCATGATTCACATGCTGGGAAGATTTTACTGGTGGTATATGTAGATGATATTGTTATTACCGGCAGTAAGAGATTGGGGATTGATAAACTGGAGACCTTTCTACAAGAGCACTTCCAAACAAAGGACCTTGGTAAATTAAAATATTTGTTGGTGATAGAAGCAGCATGGTCTAAGCAAGGTATTAATTTGTATAAGAGGAAGTATGTTCTTGATTTGTTGGGAGAGACAGGACTATTAGGTGCCAAACTGGCTAGAACACCTATGGAATCAAATACCAAGTTGATTAGTGATGTGGGTGAGGAGTTTGAAGATCTTGGAAGGTACAGGCAGTAGGGGTGTAAATGGATTGAATTCAAATCAGATCAAGCAATATCCGAATTCGAATCCGATATCTGAATTTGATTCGATATCCGACGGATATTGGAAATTAATATCTGAATTCAAATCTGATTAAATATTTGAATATTCGATTTGATTGGAATTTGATTAATTAATTATTTTAGATAATTAATAAATATTTTATTGATATAAAGTATATAAATATATAAATTATTTATATAACTTAATTATTATATATAATATTTTATATATTATATATAAGAATTAAATAATCAGTCGAATTCGGATATTTATCGAATCGAATCAGGTCATATCCGAATTCGACCGATTAGATATTCGAATTATCCGAATTCGATTCGATTATGTCGAATATCAAATTTGAAATCAGATTTTCAAATACCGTTTACACCAATAACAAGCAATTGGTAGGTAAGGTAAACTACCTAACCATTACTCAGCCAGAAATTTCATTTGCAGTTAGTGTGGTGAGTCAATTTTTGTAGAATCCTAGGGTTCCACATTGGGATGTAGTTCTAAGGATCGTATGATATCTCATTTGTAGTTAGTGTGGTGAATCAGTTTATGTAGAATCCTCGGGTTCCACATTGGGATGTAGAGTCCTGGTCGTGGCTTGTGATACAAGAGTGGAGGAAATCTTGAAATAGAGGATACACCGATGCCGATTGAACTGGTTTTGTATCTGACAGAAGGTCCACTACAGGTTATTGTACTTTTCTTGGGGGTAATTTGGTGACATGGGAGAGTAAGAAGTAGACAGTGGTGGCAAGAAGCAAAGCAGAAGCTGAATACAGAGCCGTGACACATACAACTTGTGAACTGGTGTGGTTGAGAAACCTCTGACAGGATATGGGGTACTTGATTTACACTCCTATGAAGCTTTATTGTGACAACCAAGCTGCAATCCACATTTCTTCTAATTCAGTTTTTCATGAGAGAACAAAACATATAAAAGTTGATTGTCACTTTGTGAGAGAGAAGGTACTTAGTGGAGTGATAAGTACTGCATATGTTAACTGTTGGAAAGTAGAAGATTGACTCTCTGATTGATTCTCCATAATTTTAGGTCCATCAGTTTAGGAAACTTAATTTCCTAGAATCATGGGATAT